CGAGGGGTTACGACTAGAGGTCCAGAGAGGTACGACTAGAGGGTCTGAGAGGTGAGCCTAGGGGTTACGACTAGAGGGGTCGAGAGGTACCACTAGAAGGGTTACGACTAGTGGGCCTGAGAGGTACGACTAGAGGGGTTACGGCTAGAGGGCCTGAGAGGTACGACTAGATGGATTACGACTAGAGGGCCAGAGAGGTACGACTAGAGGGGTTACGACTAGAGGGGTCGAGAGGTACCACTAGAAGGGTTATGACTAGAGGGCCTGAGAGGTACGACTAGAGGGGCTATGGTAGGGTTGAGTATTATTGCTACAAACACAGCAGGTTTTCCTATATGTCCACACTATTACGTTCCACCCACGCAGGAGTTATATATGCATGGTTATGTATACACACCATTTGAAATTTACAGTTGCACAACACCAACCATTACCGTCATAAATATAAAAATAATTCAAAAGTCAATTTTAAAACTGCGTGATCAATATGATTAAAATGCCATCAATGATGTAATTCATGAAAAGCAATAACAGATATTGTGCATCAGGTATGAACAGGTGAATATCTATCACTTAGGGCTAGGATATCTATACCTATTACACCAGACATCTATACCTGCAAGTATTACTACCTTGCCCCATATAACATAGGACATCTATACCTATAGCTATTACACCAGACATCTATAGCTATTACACCAGACATCTATAGCTATTACACCAGACAACTATAGCTATTACACCAGACATCTATACCTATTACACCAGACATCTATAGCTATATATTACACCAGACATCTATACCTATAGCTATTACACCAGACATCTATACCTATTATACCAGACATCTATATACCTATTTCACCAGACATCTATATCTATATCTATATATTACACCAGACAGCTATACCTATTACACCAGACAGCTATACCTATTACACCAGACATCTATACATATATATATATATTACACCAGACAGCAATACCTATTACACCAGACATCTATACCTATTACACGTGACATCTACACCTATATATATATATATTACACCAGACAGCTATACCTATTACACCAGACATCTATACCTATTACACCAGACATCTACACCTATATATATATATATATTACACCAGACATCTATACCTATTACACCAGACATCTACACTTATATATGTATATTACACCAGACAGCAATACCTATTACACCAGACATCTATACCTATTACACGTGACATCTACACCTATATATATATATATTACACCAGACAGCTATACCTATTACACCAGACATCTATACCTATATATATGTTACACCAAACATCTATACCTATTACACCAGACATCTATACCTATTACACCAGACATCTATACCTATTACATGTGACATCTATACCTATTACACCAGACATCTATACCTATATATATGTTACACCAGACATCTATACCTATATATCTATTACACCAGGCATCTATACCTATATATCTATTACACCAGGCATCTATACCTATATATATGTTACACCAGACATCTATACCTATTACACCAGACAGCTATACCTATATATATATATTACATCAGACAGCAATACCTATTACACCAGACATCTATACCTATTACACCAGACATCTATACCTATTACACCAGACATCTATACCTATATATATGTTACACCAAACATCTATACCTATTACACCAAACATCTATACCTATTACACCAGACATCTATACCTTCATATCTTTAACATGACATCATTATCCCCAGTATATACCTCATTACGTATGAATAATACATGAACATATGTGTATAGTGTATATGGTGGATATCAGCAATAACAGATTGTAATATAATACTCCTAGTCCCACATTTGAATATTTTTTTTCTAATTTAGGAAATGAACGGGATGCAGCGGAGATGACATACCTTATCTGGACTTTGTTTTAGCCTGGAGTATTGTACAGGGGCAGCGATGTGAGAAACACTGATTAGTAATGAGTGATAACATATAAAAGGTTTCAACAAGACAACTACCTATAAACTCGGCCATTGAGAAGCTTGAGAAGGCCACTATAATTGACTGTATCTGTTAATTGTCATAGACAGGTTATATATAATTCTTATCCATTATGGTAAATGTGTCCAGTCATTTCATACCTAATACTGCCCAACATTAATTGTTTACCTCTATGGCTAGGTGTGACCATACAAATATACCCCGAACTCAACCTCAATCTAGATCAAACATACAAAACACTATAATAAAGTTAATAGGCGATGTTTCCTAAAAACTCAAAAAAGGTTAATAAGTCAATGTTTCTTATAACACTCAAAAAAGGTTAATAAGTCAATGTTTCTTATAACACTCAAAAAAGGTTAATAAGTCAATGTTTCTTAAAACACTCAAAAAAGGTTAATAAGTCGACGTTTCCTCAAAATGTTTTCAAGGAAGGCACAAGTTATAAATATTTATGCAACATGGATAAATCATGAAAAAAATATGTTGGCTCTATATGTATGTTATCTAGCTTTGATACCAGAACATATGTACATGAATGTAAAACTATTCAGGAACTGGTCAAATGTTTTAGCAAGTATTCAGTTAAACACTTGTTAACATGACACAGTGTACATTATATGTAAATCAGAACATCCCTTATTCAAAAGAGGGTTGTTATATCTATGACATTCACAAACATTTGATACAGGTATGACATTATGTGAATAATATCGGTGATTTAATATATACACACTTGTATATATTGCAAAGTAAACAAGGAAATATTTCCAAATAACTTCCACTGTATATCACTGGCGATCAGGACAGAAATATGGGCCATATATTTGTAAATGTAAGTAGTCTGGCCCAAAATATCATGAAACAGTCCTGAATGAAGTTCAAATTTTAAAATAAGTCATATTCCATATTTACCATGTTTATGTACATTGTATGATTTGGATTGAAGTTTAACCATGATCCAGTAATATCACATTATATTCCTTTTGCTTACCTTTATGTAGTATACATGTAAGCGTAACATGCACCTCGAGATAAAAGGTGTCTGGTATACCCACGTATACCAAAGTGGAAAGATTAGAATAAGATTGTATCGTGTGACATGATTAGATGAGTCTGGTACCTTGATGTTGGAGGGGCAGGTAAGCCACTAATGATGTTACATGGTGGTGGTTGAAATGCATGCATGTATAGAGCACGTTCTACAATATACACGATAGCTCCATGATATAGGACATGTACAGTGTGTGTCAAGCTGTGATCCTTCTTCCTTGTACTGTATGCACCTGCCAGACCTAAGGCACACAGATTTATTGCAAATCAATAGCCACCGATGAAAAGTTAATTTTGGAATGTGATTACTTCGACTGTAATCTGTTTGCATAAAGCTGAGGGAAGCAAAACTCCGCCAAGGCATTGATTACTAGATAAAGTGGTATGGATGGTATGCCTAGAGTGTACATGTGTAGGTGATACAGTATAATATACGTATCAGACTAGTGTATGCAAGTATGCAATGCAGTATATACATGTATCTAACTGATGTACATAGAGGATATGACTGTTTTTCTGTTTATTATAATATTTCAGGTGTATAATGGCAGAATATCGGTATTTATCATGAATACAAATTAAACCACAAGTGAAAATATTGGTATATTCTGCCATAATATACGGTATTAAAAGGGAAAATAATTAAATTTTCTGTTAATTATTTTTGAAGGAATTAGTATAGCGTAATATTTGATGTCAGCTTCTAATGATGTCATGCTTGACAACACAACACAATTTTGCCATTCACTGCAATTATCTGGTAAGATTACCAAACAAAAATGATATCCATTGTCTAGTTATGTAAACACCATAATATATGTTGCAAAGGTGTGCCAAAACAACCAAATATTCTGCCGTCGCTTCATTTGAACTAAAACAGAAAATCTACGCAGTGAATATGAAGTCTGATTGGACGATACTAATGGAGATGTGAAGATACAACATTTCTCATATCTTCACTGCAGTTTTTATCATTAATTCATGACATTTCACTGGTAGAAATGTAATAAATACATGTATGTAGTACAGTTTATATCTCACAATGAACATGCATGCATACTGTGTATGTTAATAAATAACATACGAACTAAGAAGTATTTAAGTTGTATCTAGCCAGTGTTCCTCGTGAACTTGCAAGCCAACAACAACTGATTTGAACCTTAATGGTTTGGGGGACCTTTACGGCATCAAAACCCCACAAAAACAGCAAGTCAAGCAATTGTTTATCTATAAATTTAAATGTTTATAACCAAAGATAAGTTGATATAAATCTTTCAGACAGAAATTGACCCCTATTCAGTTGGATGGCAGGAGAAGAGTTTTACATGTAAACCGACCAACCGTGTGGCCTTTGTAGAGACTTCAAAGGGCGTTTCCATGTGTATAATGATGTATTTGGTGTAATAGTTGACATCAATACTAAACCAGCTTGTACAGGACAAACAGTAGTTCTGACAGGACACAAGCACAATGCTATGTACACTACCATGTTCTGTCACATGTCAGGACATCTCTCCAAAGTCTGTAACTTACTCTCCAGCTATCTGTCACCAGAACACACAGTTTTCTATAATCTTACTTTTTCTAAAAAAAATGAATATTTGTACAATCAAAATTATCCTTATACACAATCATGCTTATAAAGAGACAGTATACTAGTAAGATTTGTTGAATATTTGTAACACTGTTGTGTACATGTAGCCATCGGGTCTCTAACGACTTAGTTGTATGGAACTCAGGGTAGCTAGACTAATAAATTTTTCAAAAATAATTTGTAACAAAGTACAATAGATCATATTCAGGAGATGTCTTAATAAATACAACTGAAGCTCCAACAGGTGCATTCAGATATAGAATTTCCTGATCGTTGACATTTGATCCAAATATCCTGTCAATTCTATAACTAAGTTAACAGTTATAAACTTATAATTACCTCTGGGTTCCTCATCGTCTAAGTCCTGGTTTTCATCGTCAGATTCTGTTCCAGAATCATGGTCGTCATCTAGCTGTAATACAGAAAGGATAATAATAACAACATGGATCAACTATTCCAATTTACATTACCTGGCAGTTGTTATCATTTCTAACCCTTCAAATCATGTGAATATGTACAGGTAGATCCAAATGTAATTTATGTAAAAATATCTTCACGGACTCTTTCTTAGTGACAACGCCTGATAAAGATTTTTCCAGTAAATCTGCCATGATATGTATGACTGGGATTAATATGTATGACTGGGATTTACATGTATGCAGCAGTCAAATGCATCTCAAACTGTACAAGTACAATGTGATCTCAGTCAAATTGTAAGAGTACAATGTGATCTCAGTCAAATTGTACAAGTACAATGTTATCTCAGTCAAATTGTACAAGTACAATGTTATCTCAGTCAAATTGTAAGAGTACAATGTTATCTCAGTCAAATTGTACAAGTACAATGTTATCTCAGTCAAATTGTACAAGTACAATGTTATCTCAGTCAAATTGTACAAGTACACTGTTATCTCAGTCAAATTGTACAAGTATAATGTTATCTCCATCAGTCAAATTGTACAAGTACAATGTTATCTCAGTCAAATTGTACAAGTATAATGTTATCTCAGTCAAATTGTAAAAGTACAATGTTATTTCAGTCAAACTGTACAAGTACAATGTTATCTCAGTCAAATTGTACAAGTATAATGTTATCTCAGTCAAATTGTAAAAGTACAATGTTATCTCAGTCAAACTGTACAAGTACAATGTTATCTCAGTCAAATTGTAAAAGTACAATGTTATTTCAGTCAAACTGTACAAGTACAATGTTATCTCAGTCAAACTGTAAAAGTACAATGTTATTTCAGTCAAACTGTAAAAGTACAATGTTATCTCAGTCAAATTGTATATATAAGAACAAATAAACTACAGACATATCCGGGGATCCCTTATAGTACAAAAACATACATACAACAGCTGTACATACTGATCAGTGTAAAACGACCTCTGTGTATATAATATACAGACTGTGCCATCCGCTGCTAGTTTTAATCATAAAGGAACAGCAAATAGAGCATATATTGATATTTGCACAATGTATAAAAGGTATTCATGGCCTTCAGTAAGAAGTGTTTCAGATAGATTTCAGCTGATGATTACCCACATACATAACTTTTCATGCTCTGTCAACTGTTCATATCATATAGAACAAATATAACAAGATGCAACCTCTAATTCTCCAGACTCCAGCCACCATAAAAAGTTTGGACAAAAATACCAGAATGGCTAAACATGAGGAATGTCAATTAAAACACACGCCAAAGCTATGACAAAGATATGACGATAGGTCTAGTGGAATAAATAATTTAACAGAATTTGTACACATTGATTTGGAGATATCTCCCAGGTGGGAATCGCACAGTAACGATCTTCAATAATTCAGACAAAAAATTCTTAAATTGTCTAAAACGTGCAACCTGGGATAGATTATTGGCATTTTTAGCATTCCAGGACCTGAAGACACATAGTATAAATTGTCACGGGAGATTCATTAGTCAAAACTAGAAGTACCATTCTAACATCAAATATAGGTATAACATCAAGATCTATTTACAATAATTACGGTATTGTTTGCCAGACTGACATAATGTTCAATTTGAGTAATTCTATTTAATTTTGCCTTCAGAATACATGTAATTTTAGGATTAAATATTCATTTAAGCTATATAGCAAGTGTGTATATATATATATATACATGTAAATACAGATCTGTTCTTTGGTTGTCAAAGATTTACAATGGGAGTGAAGAATTATTATTTTGTTCATAAAAACCTTAAACTCACAACTTGTCAAGTATATAAAACCAATCTAATTAAAATTATATCTTCACATCGCTCCCGTTTACTGATATGTCGCGTTGAAGATCTAACAACATCCCATAGAGGGTCATGTCAGAGGTCAACATGAATGCATTATCGCATTTATAACAAGCCAATCAAAACGCGACATAACTCTTTCATTCAACCAATCAGAAAGCAGGACCTGTAGCATTTAATGCAGACACCTCGTAGCCCAAAATCCACTTTTTCGTCTGGTCCAGTGATAGTTTGAATATTGCGAAGCCTGTCATTGGTTAATTTTAGTTTCAGGTTGTTAAACATTTTAACGACAACATCACCAGAAGAGGAAGTCTCTCTTATTTCAAAGCAAAATCCACAAATTGTACAAACGTTGTCTTGTAGATAGACACGGCGTGGTGTCATGGGCGCCGCCATTTTCGATGCTCATTTGACACCTCTCGGTCTTTTATCATAGCAAGTGTGTTCCGAAATCATTACATCATCACTTACAGAAATGCGTAAGCTCTCATCTGATTGGTTAATGCAAAGGTCGCCTGAACATGACCCTCTACGGGATGTTGTTAGATCTTCAACGCGACATATCAGTAAACGGGAGCGATGTGAAGATATAATTTTAATTAGATTGATATAAAACATTAATATTATTGATGTTAATCCACTAAAGAACGCTTCCACAAAAGCTACGAGGTTTTAGAAATAACAAGATAACATTTTGGAGTCCATAAACTTGATAAAAATATGTTAAGTACAAGTATTTATGCCGGTATTAGTACTAAAATACATGTACTAACAAATTCTAATAATATACAGGTACCACATGACAAATATGAACTTCTATTCACTTTTATACACAATTTTATGATACGTACATGTACTTGGTTTTCATTTTCTATTTTCATGAACTTGTATAAAAAGTATGATCATATATTATGATACAGATGGAAATTTTCATATAACATATTTAAATATAATGTCTATAAATGTCCTTCCAGGGCACAGCCTGATGAAACACCATCTGCATTAAAATACATACCAAATCTAGGGTCTGGCGATACATGTGTGCTGAGTAGACTAAAAGATGTGCATAACATGTACAGTATAGGCAAGTAAGTGTATTGGCTGTTGGTGTATTTCATCAGATCTAAATATAACCCAGCGTAAATTTCTTCACTTCTTCTCAGCCCTCTAATTCCCATACACTACGAACATATACATATATATATACATGTACACTTATATATCAGGGTTAGTTTTTAAAGTAATGCTGCTAACTTATTCTTATAGTAACTAAAATGACAGTTACCTGGGTTAGATTTCTTAGGAACAATTTTGTGTAAACACTTAGATATTCTGATTTTTGACTAGATAAATATTATCTACATCCATTTACATATTTACATTGTACATACTAGATAGCTATACCAGACTGGCTATACACAGTGTCTCAGATTTCAGCTCACTTAACAACTTGTCTACTGCTTTAATGGAGAGTTACAAACATAAATATGTACATTTGACTGAAGTGTGTTATGAGATTCCACATTTTTTTTTTTCATTCTTTATACAAATTGATTATCAAAACATCATGTCTTCTGTTTTTTAGGATCAGTAAGACATGTATTTAAAACTCAATGTATAATGTCTTCTAGATGTTCCATACAAGTAAGCAAATTGAATAACATACTGTAAAAATAGATGGCGTGAAAAAATGATCTGAAAAAATGATCTGAAAAAATATGAATGTGTTCAATTTCAGTAACATTATTTCTATCAACAATGACAGATTGAAGCAATATTAGAGAAATGATTTTCTTCATTTAGAAACTTATGGTCCAATCAAAATGAAAATATAAAGTTGTTCGGCATTCTCAATCTTTAAACATAAAGTATAAAACATAACACCAGTATATAATAGAAGTGTGAAAATACACTAAATACGCCTTATACTTGGCCAACTTGATTACATATACCTCACGAGCGTAAGTAAAAGCTCCCCAACTCAGACTTCAAGAATGACATGGAAAAGCATATTTTCCAAAAAATTGAAATAATACTTGATTGTGTGATAAAAAGGCTCTGAAGATGCGGGATTTCGGAAATTTGTATCAGCTATATTGACAAAATGTTTACATTCATTTCATAAGCTCATATGAAATGGAATCTCAAGTGTTTCTAGTACGTGCACTGTGCTGTTACAAATGTAGGATATTGAACAGATTTTACAAATTGACAACAGGTCTTTGTATGGCGTTACACTTCAACTCCCGGTGAATTATTCAGGCTTGGCACAGGGCCAATGAAAAATACTTTACTCAACAGAAGTAGTGAGGTTATTTTTTCCAATGAAATTGAATGTGGGCTATGGGTGATCATTGAATTGTTAATGTTGTCTCCCAGGCATTTTAACAACAGAGGTAGCTATTTCACTCGTGTCTGTCTCATAATGTATAACTTTCACCGACTCTGCAAATATATTTATAGGAGTCTTTCAGGTGCATATAGAATCAAGAGTATACGTTCCTGTCCACAACTCAAGATAATGTATACATGTACATGTGACGATGTAACTACAATGTAACTACAATGTAACTACAATGTAACTACAATGTAACTACAATGTAACTACAATGTAACTACAATGTAACTACAATGTAACTACAATGTAACTACAATGTAACTACAATGTAACTACAATGTAACTACAATGTAACTACAATGTAACTACAATGTAACTACAATGTAACTACGATGTAACTACAATGTAACTACAATGTAACTACAATGTAACTACAATGTAACTACAATGTAACTACAATGTAACTACAATGTAACTACAATGTAACTACAATGTAACTACAATGTAACAAATGTTAAGTGCTACAAATAAATGTAGGTGATATTAATATGACTAAAATCTCTGATATGCTTGAATTTATAGATCCTGATGGGTCCATTTTGACAAAAGGATGATGTGTAATGTGTGATGTTATTTTGCAATTCAATATTTAAGCCTACTATTGATGGCTAAAAAATGAAATAGTGTGCCTAGTCCAAATTACTCTCCTTTTTGATAAAAATTTGATTTAACAGAAGAGGAGGTAGTTATTTCAGCCTGTGACCAGCTTTCCCTACATCAGCAGATTTAGGTATTCTCTCTGTCAGACAGTGGTCAGTGTGTATTTATCTGCCTAAACACTTCTCTGATTAGATCTCATCTCACAGAGGTCTGTTCCTCTCCCCAACACTCACCTCATTACCGCCCAGTATGGTCAGTATTTGATCCCTATTTCACAGTGATTAGTAAAAATATTTCCACCCCTCATATCACAATGGTCAGAATACCCCCTCTCATCTCATAATTGTCAGTATTCTCCCCACCCCTCATCTCACAATGGTCAGTATTATCCCCACCCCTCATCTCACAATGGTCAGTATTATTCCGTCCCTTCATCTCACAATGGTCAGTATTCTCCCCACCCCTCATCTCAAAGTGGTACAGACTTCTCCCTACACCTCATTTCAGTGGTCAAGACTTCTCCCTACACCTCATTTCAGTGGTCAAGACTTCTCCCCGTCCTTCATTCTCACCCCTTGACACCTCACAATAGTCTGAAGACATTTCTCCACCTCTAGATCTCCCGACCTTCACATCATGTGCACTGTGGTCCGAGAACTGTAATCTCTTGAGTCTTTGCTACTATAACAGTCTTCCAGTACTTTTCCCTAATTAATTGTGGTCGGTGTCAGAAAAGCAATTTTTATAACTTTACACAGAGAATAATTGAGAGTTTTAAACTCCAACCAACCTGTGACGGTGCATGGTCAGTATTAGAACTGTTTAAACAAAACTCAGTTTGATTTCATCATCATTAGACAACACAATAGTAGATTTGAACTCTTTAGGTTATTCTAACGTTTAGTCCAAAATTATCAACTATCACCTCTTCTGTCCAATATTTTTTTTTAAAAGGAGATAGTTATTTCGGATTAACTGGCATAACGTTCCTCATTCCTGTAATATAGACCCACAGCTGACCCCCATTCATGTGGCCAGTGTTGTTGGAGTAGGCCCTATTTCAATTGTGTGTGGGGGGCACAAACAGGTAGAAAGTTGAAGTCTGTCCGAGACAAGTCTTTTGATATTACTGCTGTATTGGTATATTGATTGTATTAAGTCAACTGGAACACAAATAAGCCTTAAACTAGGACTTTTTAGCTTTATACACCATGTACATAACAATCAAGACTTGATTACACGGCAAAACACGTTTTACAATAACATACTAAAACTTTATTTATTATCAGTAGTATGCCCACCTGTCATTTATCTTGGTCCAATCACCAACAAACTGAAACCCTACACAGGATCTGACAAAAGTCTCTGACAAAATCTCACCTTTTCTTGGTAAGGTTGAACTTCGTTCAGAGTCTGTGACTTGAGCTTTTGGGTGAGATACTTGAGCATATCCCGTTTGGATGACATATGCCCTGATCTGGTGGTGATGCCCGCTAGCCACCCGGGCTGCCCCCAGGAACTCCAATTCGGCCGACAAGGAAGGCAGCGGGTAGGCCGGTCCTCGCGTTTGGGTATTCCACAGGTGCATCAGACGGCTAAGGATGAAATCTACACCAAATGGTCACCACTGAAACACACATGTATCCATTTCATAGAATATTAACCATTTCTTGTAATGTTGTTTCACTTTACAAATCATGCATAGTTTCACACACGTTGTCACTCTGCCTACGTGTGGTTTTCCTACTACAACCGTAGTAAAAGGATATCGCACTGTGTATATCAACTATGGGAATGTTTCATTTGTCTAGGGGGAGCAACTCTGACAAAAGAAATAGGTCAACTTCTTACAATCAAACATAACATATCAATTTACTAACTAAATGTAAAAGAAATGGTCCATAGAATATATTTACAAAATTCCCTCAAAATAATAAAGTTAGTGAACTATCAATCAATATAATTTAAAAGTAACTCGAAAGAATACACCCTACCTTGTTGGACTAGTCTATTTGGAACCGTTGTCTGATTGGTTCATTGCAATATACTGTAACACCGGGCAGAGTTGGCAGAGAGCCAAATAGTGTAAAATACCGTACACATTGAGGCCACAGGAGTCGTAATTGATTGATGTGATATCATACACACACCGGTGTAGAGGACTATAGGTAATAGGTTTCACGCCGAAACGGTAACTCCATTTTAATGATTGTTGAAAGAACCAACAACCACGTGAAAATATATCAGAGTATTGATTTTTGGATCTAGCATTACACACAGCAGGATTCATTCAATGTTTTGTTATCCCTGAAGATCTATTTATAAACAGGATATATATATATATATATTTGGCGGAGAATGCATTAATAATGCGCGGAGAATTTTCTTTGTAATTTCAGGGGGAAGTGTAAGGAAGGAAGGCTTTTAATGTCCGTTTGTCCGTGAAATATCAAATCACAGTTAATATTGTCTTAGTTACTCTCAAACGAGGCGGCATGCAGACTCGTCTTAATTATAAAAAATAATCATTTCCAGTAATAAAGGACCTTATTTCAAGAACAAAACATAAAAAGTGGAAACAAACTCAAAATCTGTGATAAAATAAATGTATTGATCAGTACACGTGTAACTAACACATAAACTGGCCACCGTCTCTATATATTGAATAATTAAGAAAACAGCTTTACTCTAAAAGATGTGATCACTTGGTGTCTGATTAAGATGTGATCACTTGGATGTCTGATTCTAGTTCTAAACTAGGGGAGATAATTATAAGCTAGTAGAAAAATGCAGCCGAGAAATTCTTCATAAAAACTTAGGGGCTGGTAGCCAGTCTAACTAACACGATGCCTAACGTGTTTTAGCATATTAATCTCTTTAAAAACATTGATAAAAAACTTTTTTTAACTTCAGTTCAGTTTCACTTTTAACTTACTATAAATTGTGTATATGTTGAAAATTGGTAATTTTTAATTAGATAATTTCTTATATCATTCTGAAATAATCAGTTTGGGAAATTCACTTTGCGCTGAAAGTGACGTCATTTTTTTATTCTAGACACTAGGTATGGTAAATGACTATTTACATTGCTGTAGATTATACCGTTCAGCTAAGATGGGACATCACGGTAGCCCCGGATACCGGAGACGGGTCGGGAACTTCTAGTGGTTTGGTGACGACCATCTCGTAACATTTCTAACGCAACTTCGTTTCTTCGCCGTCTATTGTTATAATTGACAGTAATTAATCCGAATCACCATTTGGTGCGCGCACTTAGAGGGCCACTACGTATACAATGCCGTGATGTCATAATGTGTTTATCCTCAGTGGCGCCGCGCTCAGTAATAACAGTCTTACAGAACTCTTTCTAAATGTAGGTTTTGTGCACATGCAAACTACCGACACTGGTGCGTAATATAGGTAAGTGTGTCTAAATTTCCTAGTTTTTACACGAATTACGTGCCCATGCAACGTACATAATGGATGTAGTATATGAAATACCCTCGGATGAAAGTAAAATATAGAACGACTTTGCGTAACACGGGGGAATGGTTTTGAAACATGAAAAGACTACAGTTAAGATGCACATTCATACAGCATGAATTCAATTTATGTACCCAGCGTAGCGAATTATTTATAAACTGGCATTTAGAAATGTATGTATTTTGTTGAAAACCGTGATACGAGCGATGTCAGTTGTTTCATTGGAGAATTTAACCTTACGCGATCCCTCATTTGGGTCTTATCTCAAATTTTCTCAAAATTGCATTAAAAGTTTAATGCGATATTAAAGTTTGTAATCACTTTGAAGATGCTGGCTCCGACCTTGTTAGAGTTTTACAAGGCTAAGACGCAGGGTTTCTCTGTATAATGTCGCGAGACGTGCATCATAGCCGACAGCTGGGCGCTGAATCTGGCTGGTACTCTCGGTTACAAAAACTGTATGCAGACTTAAACTTTTCCACGCAAAAATCACCTGAGACAACTGTTGTTCAGTTAGGCTTACTTCAGCGAGTAAAAACAGTACAGTAGAAGGTAGAAGTTATGTTACTAAGACAGAGGTAATGGTCAGAATGTATTTCTGTACGGCGATACGACAGATTTCATATTGGTTTCGGTATCTACTTAACAGATTTATAACGATGTAATATAGACCGTTTCCTGCCTGTATTATATAGCCAGTTTGGAACAAACGTGACCGCTATTCGTTCCGTTAATTTTATAGATTTTGTTTTGAAGGAATTTAACTGGATGGTTTTTGTTATTTTAAAGATATATTTCACTTGAATTTTCTACGCCCGAGATCCGATGCCTGCTTGTTGCGTGCTACATTCATCGTAATTTAATTTAATAGCCTTTTCAGACACGGCCGTCCTCAAGTAGTGTGACCGTTATTTACATCAGTGTATGTCAGCCTCGCGTGAGTTAACTTTCCGGCTGGTTCCCCACAATTGAAATATCTTTGAAACTCAATGGAATATTGTGATTGAATTAATCCTGTTATCACACCTTTCAGCCTGCCGACCAAATGAAATATTTATCGATTTTTAGATCTATCTGTGTGTATACTGGTATCTTTGGGATATTTTTCGCTTCCAGTACAGAGGCGCGGATTAAACATGCAATATCTCATTGAGATGCTGATTTTGGACCCTGTTATTGCGGTAATATATGTACACTCAAACATCAAAAACACTATTATCAGCGCGCGATGGTGTTGGAGACGGCTGTCGCATGTCGTCTGCGCCGTTCCCGCCTTTTTTCCATTCACGTGCCCCATTACAACATCTGCTGTGCTGCGATCGGGGAAGCAGAGCACGTCCACACTCATTATCCCCGTTGCTTCTTTGAGAATCACGAGTATCTCCCTCAAGCCGTCTGAATACACCATCATCCTCACGAGAAGGCCATCCCGAATATTTGCACTTCACATGAGATAGGGACATTGTACTCTAGCGCTAACTCGCTATTTATTTGGCATTTCTTGTGTTTCGTAAAGAATGACGTGAAAGTTTATGCGTAACAGGGGACAAAAGGCAAGACTGATTGCTATTCTCACACGGAGTAGTCTAATGAGGAGATAGCGGGCAGACGACAGCGATGTCGTGTGGTCTCAGAAAAATGACGATTAATGCTTGTGTTCATTTAAATTACAAAAGATTTGAAACAAAAGCAATCTCCCGACATTGCACTCTCGAAGTTTGGCTACGTTGTCGGGGACTGCTCATTACGTCGGGGTCGATGTTTTCGCGAGCCTGAGGTGATGAACCATACAGCTGGGGGATTTGGCGGGAAACTTTGCCATAGCCAGAATGAATAAAGAGTAGGTTGTGTAATATCATGTAATTAAAGACAGTTACTATTTAGAACAGAGTTTGCCTACCCGTCAATCCGTATTCAACAAGGATAATGTTGCTACTCTTTGGTTAAATGTATTGAAAAGTTTCCAGCTGTGCTCATTCCGAATCGGGGAAGACCAGATAATTTCATTTAGGGTACAAACAACACGCGGACTAATCTAGGTCATAAATTATTTTATCATATTTTTTTCTACCGACAAGATAAAGGAAGTAAAATCTGATCCGACTAGCTTGTGCTATCGTGACTCGAGCCGTATTCCGAGGCAACAGGATAGCGCGATACCCACATGTTCGCGCGTCAAGGTGAAGCAGGGGTGAACACTTCAACACGAGATACGCATGAAAACAATTAAAGTCTACATCTCCATCCTTCCTTAGCCTTTTTGCTGATAAAACTCTCCTTTTCAGTGTGATTGTGACATCTCCCCCGGAAACAGAGTTTGCGGAGAAGAACACCTCCATCCCTCGAGGTACTTCGGAATATCCCTTTGTCCGGCTAGCGTCCACTATCTACATAAATTTAGTGTTGTATAATTATAGTCCGCTTTTGTAACGTGACTCCTATGTCCTTACATTACAATGAGATGTAGCATACCTTTAATGGGATTTTAAGTTGATACTCAGCGTTGTAGATATATCAGAACTGTAATGCTTGTAAGTATACCGTTTCACATAAAACATTACAATTGTGTCACTATAGAAAACTAGGTCCAGATTTACGTATGAAAGCAAAGGAGATAAAGAGGTAGGAAATGCGACGACAAAGTGACAAGACGAAGAAAATAATTTTGTGATTGGGTATCATGCTTCTGGTTACGGCGGAGAACATCTCTGTATGTCAACCAATCATATTAATAATAGGACTGTACAATTATATAAATAGCATATTATACTACGTACAATTTAAACCCAGAGACCGACGGCCATAATACCACAAATCTAATGTTACAGCGCAAACAACCTATAACATTACACAGATATTAAGTGGGACGCAGGTGGGAACACAGGCACAGCTTACCATCCATCACATGACACTTTATTTAAATGAAAACCGGATATTNGGGGGTTTTTTTTTTTTTTTTTTTTTTGGTTTTTTTTTTTATTAAAAACGCCCGGTTGGTAAAGGACTAGACAACAAGGCAGATATACACAAAATACTGAAACACAACTGACCAATCACGAAAAAGCTCATTAATTTGATATTACATTTTTGTATATAGAGGCATCAGAGCCTAATTCGATACGAGCTTCTGATCTGTTATAATTAACAAGTCATAGATGATTTGTCAACCCAAGTCGATATCTCATTAAAATGTCATAGTCTCCACGGTCACTACACTGACATAGCTACCCTTCACACGTCCGAGGCGTCCGCGATGTACACATGCACGTGTTTCCCATTAACTTTTATTTAGTCAAACAACAAATTATCGCAGCCGCCATTCCTTAGATGCGCACGAACCGAACTCTGATAATGAGGCATTCTGAACGAATGACCGACTCCATAGTATGTGGCGCGTGTTATTTGCATACCTGTAAATTACTACAAAATATACTTAGTTCCCGCGATAGTTGTACATGGATCTATATCAGCTATACGATTTCATCGGTGTGGGTCACAGTGATTTAAACAGTCAGTCACGGTCATGCCCTTTACCAATTTTGTTTTTAAATGCATTTCCTTCTGGATAACTCGTTAACACAGACGCACGGAAGTATATGTACGTCATGGTTCAGGTATGAAGTCCAAAGTTTTCAAAGACAAAAGTATATATTAGAAGTGTGTTTTGTTTTGTTCAGGTCTCTTTTGTCTGTGCTCTGCTCTCTTAGGGTGTCATTGGGTGGCAAAAAGGCGATGCCTTTGGTTGCTTTAGAACACAGGAACATTTTTGTTGGCACACTATTGATAGAACATGTTCCAGAAACAGAAATCTCACCCATCACCCCTGCCAGAGTAAACAAAGACAAGAAGAACAAAGAGCGTCTCAGTAACGAAGTAACGATGTAACGTCTAATTTTAATTGTTCAATAAACATTACTGGATAAGGAATTTTCTGTACTTTTAATTAAAACAATATCTTGCCTGAAAGAAAATGCTATAGGAAGCGTTACTTGATTCCAATTTTAATTTACTAATAGACAATATCTTCCAATAGGCAGAGAACTTACCATTACTCTGTGGTGCCATGTTTATCTACAACTATTTATGACATTTATTGTCCTCAACGAGTCGCCCATAGACAGTCTGGGTGTGACCTTGTCTTAGTTTGGCCTCTTTGTTTTGGTCTGTTTGGTCTTGTCCTGTCCCTTTGGTCTGGTAGGTTTAGTCTTGTCAAGTCCCATTGGTCTGGCTTGTTTTGTCTTGTCCTGTCCCATTGGTCTGGTAGGTTTAGTCTTGTTACGTCCCATTGATCTGGCTTGTTTGGTCTTGTCCTGTCCCATTGGTCTGGTAGGTTTAGTCTTTTCACGTTCCATTGGTCTGGCTTGTTTAGTCTTGTCACGTCCCATTAATATGGCCTGTTTGGTCTTGTCACGTCCCATTGCTATTGTCTGTTTGGTCTTGTTTCGTCCCATTGATATGGTCTGTTCGGTCGTGTCCTGTTCCATTGATCTGGCCTCAAAAAGTCGGTTTGAGATTTATTTTGGTCTTGTTTACTGAATCGTTTGAAAACTTTTCAAACACTTTAGTTTGTGTATATTTTATCATAGCAATGGGAAGGGTTTGGGCTTCACAATCATTTAGGTATCTTTACAACCTTATGTCCATGAATGAAAACAAAAAAACCATTTACAAACCTAATACCAACAACATAAAATACTTCATATTACCGTCAAAATGAAGGTACAATATAACACCGCCAACATTAAACTGACATCTTATTAAAAATATTTCTGTAACTTACCGCCGATTGCATTTCGCCTGGCAGTCTGATGGCGGGGCCCGTAATAGCGCTATCTAGTGTTGATGGTGGGGCCCATAATAGCGCTATGTAGTGTTGATGGCGAGGCCCGTAATAGCGCTATGTAGTGTTGATGGTGGGGCCCGTAATAGCGCTATCTAGTGTTGATGGTGGGGCTCGTAATAGCGCTATATAGTGTTGATGGTGGGGCCCGTAATAGCGCTATCTAGTGTTGATGGTGGGGCCCGTAATAGCGCTATCTGGTGTTGATGGTGGGGCCCGTAATAGCGCTATGTAGTGTTAAGATGGTGGGGCCCGTAATAGCGCTATCTGGTGTTGATGGTGGGGCCCGTAATAGCGCTATCTAGTGTTGATGACGTGCGACCTGTTGGAAGTAAGACAGCATTTCTATGACCATCAAATCCAACATGTCATATTCTAAATACCTATTGTAAAAATAGTGATAGCGATAAATACCTGTTCCATAAACAGGGATCAGTGTAAATCCATTACAGTTACGTCCGGAAGTGCTAGCCAAGCTAGGAGTTTGGCAGTCATCTTTGGCAACAGAAACATTTGCTAATCTTTTCTTCAAAAGAATGTAGAAAACTCGAGGAATATGCTAGATACAATTAGAATTGCCGCCTGTAACTATTATTAGACGTTCGTTACAAGCAATGCCAGTCAGCATTAATTGTTTACACTGGCTTTTCTCCGAGACCAAAAATCTCATCCGGCTGCCCGGAAAGTGAATCAGTGCCCTAGGTCTTGGACCCGATAGCCCCAGCATAAACCGGCCATCAGCAGCTCCGGGAAACCCCTGGTAGTGGGTGACATTCGCGATAACAACGAACTATTATCTTTATGGTGTGATGAACGGCTGATTCGGAAGGATTTTCTCCACCATAACCTGACTGTATGTAGGCGTACAGCGATAAAGGTATCAGCCACCAGGGTCGAGCTTTAGCCTTTGTCAATGAGCTTCTCATGTCATTGTCTATTTCGAGGTAATCAAAGATGTCAACGCACGCGCTGATAATCCTACCAATAAAATACAGATTTTCTCGTCTCTCGACGATCAGAATTTCCCGGCTCCAATTACATCTCAGAAGGTATTACATAATAACGACAGTGTTATACAGATTTACTTGATAGGGAACAATCGACCTCTCATGACCAGGAACTCGGGAGGAGAGGGACAAATCGACCTATCTAGCTCCGGGACCCAAAGAATAGGGAACAATCGACTTCTCTGGGCCCGGGACTCGGGGATAGGGAACAATCGACTTCCCTTGGCGCGGGACTCGGGGATAGGGAACAATCGACTTCTCTAAGCGCGGGACTTGGGGATAGGGAACAATCGACGTCTCTAGGCCCGGGACTCGGGGTTAGGGAACAATCGACCTCTTTAGGTTCGGGACAAAGGTAAAAGGGAACAATCGACAGTGTTATACAGATTTACTTGATAGGGAACAATCGACCTCTCTTGACCAGGAACTCGGGAGGAGAGGGGCAAATCGACCTATCTAGCCCCGGGACCCAAAGAATAGGGAACAATCGACTTCTCTGGGCCCGGGACTCGGGGATAGCGAACAATCGACTTCTCTAGGCCCGGGACTCGGGGTTAGGGAACAATCGACCTCTTTAGGTTCGGGACAAAGGTAAAAGGGAACAATCGACAGTGTTATACAGATTTACTTGATAGGGAACAATCGACCTTTCATGACCGGAACCTCGGGAGGAGAGGGACAAATCGACCTATCTAGCTCCGGGACCCAAAGAATAGGGAACAATCGACTTCTCTGGGCCCGGGACTCGGGGATAGGGAACAATCGGCTTCTCTAGGCCCGGGACTCGGGGGTAGGGAACAATCGACTTCTGTTGGCGCGGGACTTGGGGATAGGGAACAGTCGGACGGACTAAAGGGAATTCGAACAATCGACTTCTCGGGGCCCGGGACTCGGGGATAGGGAACAATAGACTTCTCTAGGCCCGGGACTCGGGGATAGGGAACAATCGGCTTCTCTAGGCCCGGGACTCGGGGGTAGGGAACAATCGACTTCTGTTGGCGCGGGACTTGGGGATAGGGAACAGTCGGACGGACTAAAGGGAATTCGAACAATCGACTTCTCTGGGCCCGGGCCTCGGGGATAGGGAACAATCGGCTTCTCTAGGCCCGGGACTCGGAGTGAGGGAACAATCGACTTCTGTTGGCGCGGGACTTGGGGATAGGGAACAGTCGGACGGACTAAAGGGAATTCGAACAATCGACTTCTCTGGGCCCGGGCCTCGGGGATAGGGAACAATCGGCTTCTCTAGGCCCGGGACTCGGGGGTAGGGAACAATCGACTTCTGTTGGCGCGGGACTTGGGGATAGGGAACAGTCGGACGGACTAAAGGGAATTCGAACAATCGACTTCTCTGGGCCCGGGCCTCGGGGATAGGGAACAATCGGCTTCTCTAGGCCCGGGACTCGGAGTGAGGGAACAATCGACTTCTGTTGGCGCGGGACTTGGGGATAGGGAACAGTCGGACGGACTAAAGGGAATTCGAACAATCGACTTCTCTGGGCCCGGGACTCGGGGATAGGGAACAATCGACTTCTCTAGGCCCGGGACTCGGGGATAGGGAACAATCGACCTTTCTAGGTTCGGGACCAAGATAAAAGGGAACAGTCGACCAATCTAGGCATGGAACCCGGAGAAATGGGAACAATCGACTTCCTTAGGCGCGGGACTCGGGGATAGGGAACAATCGACTTCTCTTGGCGCGGAACTCGGGGATAGGGAACAATCGACTTATCTAGGCGCGGGACTCGGGGATAGGACCAATCGACTTCTCTTGGCGCGGGACTCGGAAATAGGGAACAATCAATTTCTCTCGGCCCGGGGCTCGGGGATAGGGAACAATCGACTTCTCTAAGCGCGGGACTTGGGGATAGGGAACAATCGACGTCTCTAGGCCCGGGACTCGGGGATAGGGAACAATCGGCTTCTCTAGGCCCGGGACTCGGGGTTAGGGAACAATCGACTTCTGTTGGCGCGGGACTTGGGGATAGGGAACAGTCGGACGGACTAAAGGAAATTCGAACAATCGACTTCTCTGGGCCCGGTTTTTCAGTAATAATCTATAACAAACTTATCTCGCCATAATTATACAAACTCATTTACCGTGTATGTATGTGATGTACTTATTTTCAATCCTCGTTCATCTAAAATCATACATGAACACAATATATATTTATTTCCATTAAGTGCCATATTAGGCATTGCCTATAAATGGAACAAAATATAACGAATTGTGTAGACGGTGTCCGAAGCGGATTCATTCTAAAGTGCCATCCCACTGAAATCTCACAGCAGAGACACGATCGCCTATTAAACCGAAAGTAATCTTGAAATACATTATCGACAGGAATATGGCTTTGCTATTTATATGGAGAGAAAAAAACGAAAAAAACAACATCTAATACTAGTATCCAGGTTGCCATTATGGAATCTCTCACGTGCGGTCGGGAGGATTTGAAATAATATGTTCGTGCAATGTTGACTATTTTAACCGGATGTGTACTATAATATACATTATTCAACAGCATACGTTTAGGTCCCTGTTGCTGATCACCTGATTCCGTGAGAGAGGACGGTGGTACTTTGATCCAATATAAATAAAGGACAGTGATCCGACCAGACAGAAGGTGACCTAAATAAATAGTTCAGAGCATGAATAATTGATGTCAAACTTACCGATGACATGGGCAGACCACAAAAAAAATCCGAAAGTCTGGCTCTGAAGAACGAGAATCGCGGTAGGCAGCTGAGAAAGCTCAGAGAGGCAATTGTTGACGAGGATTTATGATTTTTAACGCGGCGCTCCACAAATCACTTAGTTTAGGTGTTTTTTTTATATGTTTGTTATGTATATTTCTCGACCACATGCATTTATTTCTGTCAAAAAAAATAGTCCTGACAAAAAAATCACATCCTACTCAAATAAAAATATAGATTATTAAAACATATATNGTCTTTTTTTAGACGTCTTTTCCAGGAATACATATTGTCGAATCGATATGATCTCTAGAACTGCATGTCAGTGGTTTTTTTTTTATTTCTCTGTATATAAATGCCGTCTTTGTGACTTATCGACAGCAATATGTTAATTGCATATTTAATGTAATTGTACTTTCTCTATTTTAAACAATAGGCGTATTACCTTGGTGGCGTGAATCAAACACAATCGGAAGTTTCGAACCCAATACACGCAAGATGTAACTCCGGTCCATCGCATCGGCTCGTTAGATTCGGATTGACTCTAGATGGTGTAGCCGTTTTTGCTGATTTTAACAGACAAATGACGCCAATTTAATAGCTTTATCGGACGAAAAGAAATAATCCGACCATACTGATGATCATGAACATGTAGACAGAAACGAGGCGCTTGTTTGGCGCCGTTTCGGTAAAGGTGACAATTTTTTCATTACACCGGTAGAACCGCGACACGGCGTCGGGTAGATTGAACATGCTCCGTATCACGATCGTACAAAAGAAGATTTGACAATAGCGTGTTATGGATGAGTTCCTAACATTGATTGTGTATGTACTTTTAAGCTATACAGTAATGACATTCACGTGCGGAGCACAAGTCAAGCGTACTTTTCAGATGATTGCGGTTAACATATCGCTGCTTTGTGGCCTACAAACTCCGGCGCTTTGTGTAAAGAGGGATAACTCCGGTTTTCATTATCGAAGTTCTTCACTAGTTACACGAGAAGAGAGCTCGTATACTTTGTTGTTAAAACATGCATCTTCCCAGTTGATTTTTAAATTAGAGATTGATTCCAACTTTAGTCTGGTTTCCTGCTGCGAATGCTCCGACGAGTCTGCGCCAGACTATTCCAACTTGTTATCAATCTAAGAAGTTGACAACCACATCAATAGCCTCGTTTGTCAATACACCCTATGTATAAAGTTTATAATACGGATGTTGGGTGTATGTACAATCGGGACTAGTACTTGTGGTTGGCCCGGTCGGAAGTAGGAGAGGACACTGGAGTACCCGAAGTCAACTCGCGTAGTGACCCCATACGCATGTCTGCTCTGGGAATCGAACCCGCTATCTACCGTGTCGCCCTACCAGACTACGAACGTGTTGTCAGCTGTGTCAGCTCTTGTAATCGATTGCTTTATTACGACATGAAAATATCTACGAAAATCCAATTTGAGCAGAAACGAGTGCCTCAACTACAAGAAAATAATGAAAATCATATATATTTCACCTAATTGTGAAGTATAATACCACGGACTTAGATAATTCCGTGGTAATACCGAAGTACAAAGTAATGACTGTACATGTATAAAGAGACCAACTATATCACATTTCCCAAATGGGAATTCAGAAAATATTCCCCCCATCAACGCCATTTTCAAGTTGGATCTTGGAAGATGATTTTCTTGTTATTATGAACCATCATAACACAGAATTTGGTCTAACGTAACGTATTGAGTTAACGTTAACTGCTTATCCGACTCCCTGTGCGCTCGACATCCGGGCTAACAAGTGTTTCATAATCGTAACATAAAATTTAGTCAAAACAAGCTAGACTATCACGAAGAATTCACCCTATAAACTGAGGGATATGTGGCATGTTTTTATTTTCACAGGTTATGATTACGATATCATTCTTGTAAAAAAAATGGGGTTTTTTGACAGATTTTAATCGGCGATAAATAAACTTCACCTAAAACACTGTCTAGTTGTTTGTTAAACCTTAACCCAGTATAAATATAAATAAAAATCTTATAGGATAAAAATATATACAGGAGCTCAGGAATAATTAAAGCCACCATCATTCCTCTACATTACAATGTCCGCACCCCGAAACTATTTGTTTAACGACAAAACATCCTATTTAACGGTTCTCGTGAGTAACTATAACGACAAAACATTCTATTTAATGGTTCTTGTAACTATAACGACAAAACATCCTATTTATTGGTCTCGTAAGTAACTATAACGACAAAACATCCTATTTAATGGGCTCGTAAGTAACTATAACGACAAAACATCCTATTTAATTGTTCTTGTAAGTAACTATAACAACAAAACATCATATTTAATGGTTCTTGTAACTATAACGACAAAAAATCCTATTTAATGGTTCTCTTAACAATGTATTTGTAAACTACACACAAATGCACGTGTAATACGAGTAGTAACAAATCGTATCATTAAGGTAATTTATAAAGTTCCAAATTTCATATTTAGAATGTATAAAGTATTTTGTATGATATATCCTGGAATGATAATAAAGATTAAATATTTGGATAAGAACAAATAAAACAGAAAACAATAATTTCATAATCATTTATTTGGAAACAATAAAATCATTAAAAACTTTTTCATTACAGCACTACTCAGCAACATAAAATATTGTCAACACACAGTGATGGATGTTAAAACTTGTCTGTAATGTTTCCTAGCTAAACCCTTGTAACGGGAGACAGTTACCTCATGTTCAGTATTAGGCACCGGCTATCGAGATTGACGGCTCTGCTCGTTTCACCATGCCTAGCAGGTCTGTTCGAAATTAGAAAAAAAATCAACAAGCTTGACAGTTCTGTTTAAAATCAAACGCGTTTTTACCAGAGTTGTTTTTATGGGAAACATCGATAGCACCAAGCTTGGCAGTTCTGTGCTGTGGCATCAGTATCCGTCATTATATCTGTATTCTGGACGTTTTTCTTTGAAAAATTAAAAACAATTGTGATAACCTAAAATATTTTTTGCTATACAGCAGTACCCTTACAAACCGGAAACGATCGGAGAATAAGACGCATCGTTTCTAGCTACAGTATGTTGGTATAGCTAGCATTATTTTGACAATATATTTACAACGTTTCTCCATGAAACACAGACTGATTGGCACACTAAAATCCAACACCACTGGAAACAGGATATATTGTTCTGCTTCGTGTAAATAAAACAAACCCCTATATGAGCAAAAGGGCTCGAATACAAACATGTGTACAACACAACAGCTCACAAGCAAACAACATTTACATGATTTTATGTAAAACAAAGAACCCTTCCTGAAAACGAGCAAAAGGGCTCAAACTGACAGTCACACTTACTACAGGACAGGTACACGTCACACTTACTACAGGACAGGTACACGACACGCATACTACAGGACTGGTACACGACACGCATACTACAGGACAGGTACACGACACGCATACTACATGACAGGTACACGACATGCATACTACAGGACAGGTACACGACTCGCATACTACACGACAGGTACACGACACGCATACTACACGACAGGTACACGACACGCATACTACAGGACAGGTACACAACACACATACTACAGGACAGGTACACGTCACACATAATACAGGACAGGTACATGCCACACTTACTACAGGACAGGTACACAACACACATACTACAGGACAGGTACACAACACACATACTACAGGACAGGTACACAACACACATACTACAGGACTGGTACACGACACGCATACTACAGGACTGGTACACAAAATGCATACAACATTACACGTACACGATACACATACAACATTACACTTACAAATTGACTTCACAGACGCTTGGAATGCCGATTTTTAACTTTCAAGAGATAGGCTAGTTTAAGTATTACTGATCTATGAACTAGATTATCTCTGGAAAGGTAAAGAAAACATCACCAGTCCTTGTGGTGATTCGTTGGGACACCCTTTACACATACACACTTGTACAACAATTCACACATTATCTATGTATATCTATGTATATCTATGTATATCTAATGATGTAAACGGAGGACAACAGTGGTATAGAAATAAAGGCAACAGTTGTATATGTACGGCAACATTCAAATATATAAAGTTCAACATGTGTAAAAACAACATCATCACAGCTAAAGTGCTGCTTCCTATCACCAAATACCTTCACAACGATCAGCCATCGTCTTGTCTACACTAACACTGCAAACTTTAGCTTATGGACTTAGATATGGTTCTCATAGCCATGTTACATCTTTATGAAAGTTTAATAAATACATGGTGTAAATCATCCATACCTTTGTTTCTATAGAAACCTCTGATACCCATGGCTGTCAGTATAGAATGTTTGTTTCTATAAAAACCTCTGATGCCCATGGCTGTCGGTCTAGAACTTTTGTTTCTATAGAAACCTCTGATGTCCATGGCTGTCAGTCTAGAACCTTTGTTTCTATAGAAACCTCTGATACCAATGGCTGTCACTAAAGAATGTTTGTTTCTAAAGAAACCTCTGATGCCCATGGCTGTCAGTATAGAATTTTTGTTTCTATAAAAACCTCTGATGCCCATGGCTGTCAGTAAAGAATGTCTGTTTCTATAGAAACCTCTGATACCCACGGCTGTCAGTAAAGAATGTTTGTTTCTAAAGAAACCTCTGATGCCCATGGCTGTCAGTAAAGAATGTTTGTTTCTAAAGAAACCTCTGATGCCCATGGCTGTCAGTCTAGAACCTTTGTTTCTATAGAAACCTCTGATACCCATGGCTGTCAGTATAGAATGTTTGTTTCTATAAAAACCTCTGATGCCCATGGCTGTCGGTCTAGAAC